ATGGAAGACTGGAGATTGAAAGTTTCGTACCTTGCTGAGATGGCAAAGATTTCGGCTTATTTGAAGAATTATTCAAATGAACAATTTTTGTTAATATGGAGAAGATGGATTGTTTATATTCAAAAGAAGCATAGAGTGGTGGAATATAATTTAGGTTTTTAGAAAAAAATTTCTTTTCTTTTATATATCTTACCTACTCGTATAGAATAATATATTTTGTGGAGTTAGAGATGTTAATATTTGTTTACTTATATCTGAATATTATCCTGGGATTAGGTTTGGGAAGTCCGGGGAGTGGGGTGGGGGTTTTTTTATATAGCATTGTGTAGTATTTGTGAAAAAAAAATTTTTTATGTTGAAAAAATAATAAAATTTTATATTGAAAAAAAAAATATGTTTGGATGTACTTTATTTTCTGCTATGAAAAAACAGAGATGGGAAATCTACTAAAATCCACTAATTTTGCCAGGTTTAAATGAGACCATCAATGGTCTCACTGAAAAACATATTTCAATACAATCAAATGGTTTGTTTAGTAGTTATGCCTCCCAGAACCAATTAACAATGAGTACTGAGTTATCATTGTATTAAGCAGAGATAGCAGGGATGAGAGATAATATAGCATCACTAGACTGTATTGCAGAAATTAACTTAAATTGTATTAAATTGTTGTAGCACTTATCCTAATATCATTTTAATTTTGGGGAAGTGATTTCTGGGATGATCCTCATTTCTTTAGTACTAGGTGCAGTAAGGATCTGCAAATAATGATTAGAAGCATGACTATAACACTAGCCAGCTCTTTTAACCAGACAGTTAAGTGAACTGTATTAGTGAAGTGGAGGGATGGAATTATTAGATTATCTCAACCTACTCTACATTTATTTATTTATTTATTTATTTAATTTAATTTATATGCCGCCCTTCTCCCGACAGGGACTCAGGGCGGCGCACAACATATTTAAAACCAGAACATATATACAATCCCCCCCTTAAAACCGAATTAAACCGAATTTTAATGTTGCGTCTTCCGAATATTTAAAACCCAATATAAAATCCACCCTAGGTCAGGTCCGCT